TACAGATTTTAAAGGGTGGGGGAGATACTGTTTAGGACTCCCGTGAGTATAAGCATCATCTGGCCATGTGTGTTTTCCCTTGGCACTACAGAAATACTGCTGTGGGTTCAAACTGTTCAATTTGAAGTGTCCCCATAGGCCTCTGGCTGCGCACAGTAAAAGCTGCTCAGCAGTGAGTGCTCCATTTTTATTGGGGGAGGCGTGGGATCCAGCGTTCAGAGTGGCTTGTCTAGCTAGCATCTCTCTGCCTTTGAATGCTAGAGCCAGGAGCAGAGACCCTGTTGCCACACACCAGTCTCTTTGTGCATTCTAAGGCGTCAGATCCGTCTTTGCTCTACTGCTCCTTGGGACCTGCTGGTGACTTATTTCCTAAGCAACCTTTCGTCCCTGCCTGGACAGCCCTGCAGGCAACCACAGAAGGGTCAGTTTGGGTAGCCCTGGAGGCAGGGAACCAAGGACAGAGCATTCATTGTGTACTGCCCTCTCTGAGCCAGCAGCTGATTGCGGGAAGGCGAACAGGTCAAAAGGCTTTCACCTTGCCTGGGCTCCCGCATCTCTGAGCGTGTGACTGTGTTCACACGTGTGCGTTGGCAGGGGCTTTTCACAAGAGGACTGGCAGTTGTTTCCCAGACCCACCACAAAACTCAAAGAGTGTGTGTAGGCTGGCAGGTATGTGCTGGGGCGACTGAAGAACAGCAGCTTTGTGGGCCGGTAAAGTCAACAGACAGGTTAGGTTTCTTTGATCTGTGCTTTTGAAAGCCTTTTTATTTTAGGTTTTTAAGGTGATAGGGTTCATGTGGACACAGGGTCTGGATTATTATCCCCAAAATAGGCAGAAAATTTGGCGCTTCCTGAGTGGGTAGAACTAATTTGGAGAGGGACTTTGAATAGCTGTCGGAGATGAATAATTTTCATTCAAAAAAAAAAAAAAAAAAAAAACCAAAAAACAAAAACCACAAAAAAACCTTTTAGAGACTCTCCAGGTACTCTCTCCCAGGGTGGAAATGAAGAAAGTATGAGCATTATTCAGCTGGACTTGGACTCAGCCTGAGAATGAATTGCTGCTCAATTAGAAAAATAAGATTTATGTGCTCAAAACGAGTAGAAGACAATGCAAGACTGGCATTTAGGGGCATCTACAGAGCTGGGTGAAGTGTAAGTCAGGCCAGGGAGTAAGTGCTGTCAGCCAGAGTTTGTAACACTGTCACTATGGTGATATACATACTGGGAAATAACCTGGAACTAAGTGGAGGCTCAGGGCCTGCTTGGCTTGTTAATTTTTCATTCATTTCTTCATAGCAAACATTTAAAGTGGACTAGTCATATGCTAGAGTGCAGGGATCGATGGCAGCAAATTTAAGAACTGGTTCTATGAAAATGCCAGTGCAGAAAGAACTCCGTGGATACAGGTCTTAGCTGAGGAGACACTTAAACTCAGTAGCTAACACAGCCTGAGACTAGACTCAATGTGACACTGGGATTGTGGGTCTGGAATGGCTACTTGAAAAGCTTGGGGCTGTTTGTAATGGCCTTCTTATTTTATCTATAGTGTGTGTTGTAAGAAACTCCAACTGCCCCCCACCCCAACTCCAGCTGGTCCAGGCCCTCAAGAAATCACCATCAGATTTCATCAGGGGGTCTACTATCTGTTTACTATTAAGTTTCCTAGTTCTGCCATCATATGAGGACTGCACTGCCCTAAAACCAAGCTTCTCCTACTCTCATTACCTGTAAGAAGAAGTCCAAACTCACTAGTGTGTCATTCAAGGCCCTCACAATCCAGCTGCAGCCTTTTATTTGCTGTACCTCTCACCAGTCTAACTTGGTGCTGGACCCCTCCCTCCTTAGCCACACATCAGTTTGCTTCTTTCTTAGCATAATCCTACATGTTCCTGGCTCACTCTTCGCCTGTGTTGTACTGTCTGTCCTTTGCTATTGTGTCTTTCTTCTTTCCATTTTTTTTTTTTTTGTTGTTCTTTCATGCTGTAGTTAAGTGTGGCATGTATGTATGTTTGCATGTAGACAGATATGTGTTTGTGCATTTGTGTGCAGACGTGTGTTTGAGTATGTGTGTGTGTTTAGGCATGCATTCCTGCCTACATGTAACTGTGGAGGCCTGAGATTAATATTGTTGGTCTCCACAGCCAGCTTGCTCCTGGGATCATATCTCCACCTCCTGAGGTTGTAATTACAAGCAAGCCAGCTTGAACTGGAGTGGTTCTGGGGATCTCCATTGAGATTCTCTTGCATATGAGGTAGACCCTTTAGCGGCCCACCCCCACCAGGGTCTTCCTACTTTCTTTCTATAGCTGCCTAAGGTCCCCGAAACTGTCTGCTCTTCTTAGAGCGTTCCTTTGCTGGCACTGTAACTTTCTTCAGATTTGCTTTTCAAACCTCTAATCAAGAGTGAGGGAAAGGGGAATTGAGAGACAATTGTTGAATTGGATTTTATTTTTATGGATCTCTTACTGCTGCATCTCAATAATTATTGACTCATACAGTTAAAAATATGCAAATCTCAGGCAAACCACTTTTAAATGGGAGATGCTTTCTTCATGATAACTATGTACCTACTTCATTGCCTATCTGCTCATCTGTAGGTAGTGTTTCATCTTCTTTCATCTCATTTCATCTGCTCTGGTTTGAAGTTTAGATGGATTGCTAAGAGCTTCTGAGGATGTCTTTGCCTTGTCTTATATCCTGCATTGGTAGTTACTGGGAAACTAAAGCATAACCTTGATGATTCCTACTTCAGTGGGTACGCTGTGGACACTGTTGTCCTTAGGGGAAAAAAAATGACTTCCAATGTGTTTGGAGCTGGAATGCAGATGCAGAGAAGTCAACTGGAGTCTCCCTGAAATAAGCAGTGACATGTTCTAAGGCATCTTGATACCTTAGGGTGTTCCTGCAGTATCTGCCCCTGAAGAGAGGGGAACCAATGGATGTTGACTTGGTAAGAACTTTATTTTTAGAAAGGCTCTTTCTATGTTCTCCTGTCTGTTCTGGAACTCACTGTGTAGGCCAGGCTGGCTTTGAACTTGTGATCTTCCTGCCACAGTTTCCCAAATGCTGGGGTCACAGGCATATACCACCGCAGTTGACTTAAATGTGACTCTTTAGGAAATAAAAATTTTGATGAATATAGGAACATTGGCCTACTAGAGAGAAAGACTTTAGAATTGATTTTTAAAGTAAGTGTCATGTGATCTAAATGAATTCTCTAACTGCAGAAAATCTTGTTAGTCACCTGAGTTGCAGGTATTATGTAGTGTTTTTGTGGTAGCCTCAGCAAAGGTGCTCATAATTTTACTAGGGAAGTCTTATCACTTTCAGAAGAAAAAAATGTACTATTGTGTTTTTCTTTCAGAATAAAACTTCTTGTAAATACGCTAGTGTGCAGGGCTGAGCCATTTCTAAGATCTGAGTATGTTTCTGGGCTTCTCTACAATGTGAGACCTGTTTGGAGGTTTCTTGCCTTAGCTTCTTCCTCCTCTGGCTTTCTAGCAGGTTCCTGGCTGAGAACATGCTGGTTTCAGAGCCAGGAGACACATACTCAGCTGTCAGGTTCCAATGCTTGGCTGGTCTCAATGTGTTCTTACAAGCCTCGTGGGGAACACTTGGTAGGTAGGGACATTTGATGACCAGTTCTTTAAACTGTTGGACTTGTAGGTAGAAACAGAAAATGTGTAGAAATGTTCTCTGCTGGCAATAGGGAGAGTGCTCAGTGGGGTAAGAAGGAAGGTTTGGAATTAATGAAACCTCATCCTTAAGTTAGGAAAATTTGGTGGTTTATATAACTCTGGAACATTAGGCTTTCCCTTACAGATTGATATTTGGGCTTGCCTTTGGCTTTTGCAGTCAAGAGTCTGAACTAGGGAATAGAGGGATGGTGGTAAGGGGGAGAGTTGGCTCATCTTGTGATTGTCTGGAGAAGCCTGATTTTTCTCTTCACATCTTGGAGGGAAGCGGGAAGAGAAGATGGTAGGAAGATTCCTGACATTTTCAGTGACTTGTGAAATGCTGCTTCTCTCTCTTTCTTTTGCTGTTTTGTTATGTGGACATAACAACTCTTCATCTAAGGAACAGGAAAGAAGGTCAAAATTGTATAAATGGCTATTTTACGTAAGTAGTAGAAATGATTAAATACCTTATGTTTCTGTTGATAAAAACATTTTAAAAGTCTGTTTTGCATTAATCCCAGATTTCTATTGAAATCTTTTGCTTTCTTTCTTTCTTTTTTTTTTTTTTCTTTCACCTAAGTTTAAGAGCTAGCTCACCATGTGTGGTGGTTTGCATGGATAATCCGAGCTTTGGTAGGCTTAGTCAGGAGTATTGCCACAAATAAAGAGTTCAGCCTGAGCTACACAGTAAATTCCAGACCAGCCTCGGCTACAAAATGAGATCCTGTCTCATAGAATGAAAAGACAAACCCCATAAAGCAAATGGAACAAACAAACAATGACAAAAACTAAAAGACTTTGCATAATGGAAATTATGTATAATTCGTTTATTGACAAGTGATGACAGACAGCCAGGAGATGGACTAAAGGGTGCCCATCCTATAGAAGCAGGTAGAGGGGGGCTTCTCATAGGCAGCTGAGAGTGATGTTCATTTTACAAACTGTTCCTCAGAGGGAAGTTAAGAGAAGAAGCCACGTAGATACAGTTCTCACAGACCCCTGTCAGCACTCAGACATCTCTTTCATTGTGGTTGGTTTTCCTGGTGATGGCATCCGCTGTGGCTTCAGTGTAAGAAACCTCCTGCTGTTACTGGCTGTGGACTCACCTCTCTTATATTTCTTGTTAGGCCTGCGGCCATAAAAATTAGTACTAACCCATCATGACGGCACGTGTGCTCTAGCATAATTCATATTGGTTATGGCCACATTCTGACCAACTCTCTGATACTGTAGGCACGTGGGAAGGGACCATAGAAACTGACATTGGATCTCTTGGGGTCTCCTACCATAGCCAATTATCTCTCTGCTTCTCAATTGCAGATCTGATTCCTACTGAGGACTTCACCACATCTCCATTCTTGGGACAGTAAACCCAGCGGCTGGACTACTTTGTTCTTGGAACTTTGGGTGTCCTCTCTTTTGACCTTTTCCACTTCCCTTTGTCTCTTTCCCTCCTGAGAACTCCTGAAAACTGTAGGATTATCATGGAGTCCAGGGAAATTTTAAGCAGCTCCCGGCAAAGAGGGAGTGAGTCGGAATTCCTTCCAGGCTCCTCATCCAAGTCCCCAGCAGCTCCCGGCTGTTCAGGAGAGCCCTTGAAAGGCATCTCTGTGGGTGGAGAACGCATGGAGCCAGAGGAGGAGGATGAATTGGGCTCAGGAAGAGATGTGGATTGCAACTCTAATGCAGACAGTGAGAAATGGGTGGCTGGAGATGGCTTGGAAGAGCAAGAGTTCTCCATCAAAGAGGCAAACTTCACTGAGGGGAGTTTGAAGCTGAAGATTCAGACCACAAAGCGGGCTAAGAAACCCCCCAAAAACCTGGAGAACTATATCTGCCCACCTGAGATTAAGATCACCATAAAGCAGTCTGGGGACCAGAAGGTGTCTCGTGCTGGGAAAAATAGCAAAGCTACAAAGGAAGAAGAAAGAAACCACTCCAAAAAGAAGGTAGGAAACTGCCTTGCAGGTTTTGTTTTGTTTCTGTTTTTGCTATTCTGTCATCAACTTTTAAAGGTCAATTTACTTTTGAATATATTTACTTTTGAATCACCGGCCTCTTTGACAGAATATTTAGGGCCTACCGCCAACTCTCAGAGATAATGTAGTATAATGTTGAGTTTATCATTATATTTTATACTCACCTGGGAAACATAAGCTACTGGGAAATTATAATTTGGGATCACATCCTGTTTATTGGGTAATAGCCTACAGGATAGGTCACTCAAGTCCTGCAAAAAGTTTGAGCTACTTTTTGTTTTAATGTTTGCATCTGTTTTCCTGGTTGGCCGATCTGAGCAGTCAAGACGTGTGCAAACTAACTTTTGGTTTCATTCGTTAGTGTTGTAGCTCTTTCTAAGATGAATGCTTCAAGGAAGCGCTGTTTTCATCAGGATAGAGTCTTCTGTATGAGCAAGAGATGGTCATCCTGAGAACAAGCCCTCAGAGAGCAATATTAGAGGAGGGAACAAGAAAAAGCGAAGGTGTGGGGTTCAACTGACTGAATCATAGTCTGAGACATGGTGAACCTTTATGTCTCTACGTTGACAAATCTGGTCCACTGTGCCACTTCATGTCCATCACAGGCATGAAGACAGAGGTGCTCGGTAGAATCAGTTTATTGGGAATGGACGTGTCCATGATTTATTGGATTATTTTGTGTGTGTGTGTGTGTGTGTGTGTGTGTGTGTGTGGTTATAGTGGTCTCCTTTCTGGGAATGGTACTCAGCCTGTGAGAGCAGAAGGCTGGCCCAGTATCAAAAGCATTTTTGCCTTCAGGAATCTTAGCAGCCTGAGCATGGCTGTGAAATAGAGTTTGGTTGAGGTTTAGGTGATAGGTAGGTATTAATCAGGTTCTGTCTTTCACTGATGTATAATTAGTCAAGTGTGCTAGATGGAGTGTGACTACTTAACGTGGCCCTGGAATGTTCCTGTCATCAGGGGACTTATGAGTTGCATGGCACTCATTCAACAAAAATGCACAGAGACCATGTTCTTTGGAGCAGAGCTGGGTCTGTCCTTATGTCAGGTGTTTGCACTGATATTTTGCAAATTGAAAACTGAAGATATGAGCTAGAAGCTTCGTTCGAATGTGGCAATTCCTCGCAGTTGTCTCAACAAGCTTGTCCTGTGTTTAAAACTGAAACTTCTTCATCCAGAAGCCTCAATTCCAGGAAACCAGGACAGTTGATTCACTGCCACGTTAGTATTTTGGGACACAGAGGAATAAACATTGGCTTCATTTGCCAGAGCGTGTGGGTCACACACTCCTCCCCTCCCATCAACTTTGCAGCCATTAATGAGCGCTCTGTTTTGAAAACAAAGGTTATCTTCATACCTGACAGGAACTTTTCAGTCACTTATAAAGTGACATTGTTGCCTTGGAGTTGTGTGTCTTCAGCTTTGAAAATGAGTACTGCTATCTCTGACCATTGCAATGGCCCAGCTCTTTGTGTGATGTTGAACTGTGTGTGTGTGTGTGTGTGTGTGTGTGTGTGTGTGTGTGTGTGTGTATGTGGAGGGGGTATCCTGAAAGCTGTTACCTTTGGTGATTATTTTCTCTCTGTTCCTATCCCCATACTGGGATTTGAGTAGCAGCTCAGAGTTTGGGTATTCAACCCCAAATTCAGTCCAAACTGAAGTGTGACTGAGGCCAGCCATTCTCATCCAAGAAACAAGGTGGTTTTCTTAGAAAGAAAGATGAAATTCCTTTTTTGAGCATGTGGTTTGACTCGTGTGGTAAGCATTTTTATGCCTCACAGCTGGAAGGAGTGGGAAAGAGGGGGCCAGAGTTCAATGTGAAGTGGTGTTTTATGATGTCACTGTGATGGAGCAGCTTATAAAAGGTCTTAGCTTTTAGAAACTTGCTTCGTATTGTATATCTCTATCTTCTCTACATTTACACTGAAAGTCGTTACTTTTTAGGAATGAATGAATAAAGTTACTAGCATGAGGTTGTAATTCTTTGATAAATAACAAGAACATTCTCTTATCTCTATTGGGTTAGAATACTGACTTTATTGCCCTTCAAATTCCTGTCGTTTTACAGAGATGAAACAAAAGCTGAGGTTGAGGATGTGTGTGGAAACTTTGCCTGTGATTGTACGGAAAAACTCAGTGGTGTAAACTTGTAGAACTCCTTCAATAAATTGGAAACACATGATGAATGATAGGGACAAGAAAGGATGAAGATGGTGTCTTGTATATAACAGATCAGTACCTATTCCCGAGGTACAGGCTTTTGTGTCTCTTGGTGAGGTGAGCCGTATTCTGAAGATGTGTAATGGAGCTGCCCCTCGGAACCAAGTCCTACTCCAAAAGTACCCAGAGGCCGCATGGACCTGGTCCTTGAGTGGGTGGAGGCTTTTTCTTGGGGGCATTTGGATGCATGTTCTGACACTGAGCAAAGGTTGGCAACCACAGCCTGTGGGCCAAATTCAGCCCCTTTCCTGTTTTTCTACAGCCCACACACAAAAAATGGTTTTTACATTTCTAAAACGATTTTTAAAACTCAAAGAAAAAGAAATATTTTGAAGTATGTTCAACTTCTTTGAAATTCAAATTTCAGAGTCCATAAATAAAGTTTTAATGGAGTGAGGCCAAGTCCACTCGATTACATTTTGTCTGTGACTGCTTTGTTATTGCAATGGTAGAGTTGGGCAGCTGTCACCCTGATACTGGCCTGTAGAGCTTAAACTATTTACCAACTGGGTCTTATACAAAATGTTTGAAGTTCAGGAGAAAGCTCAATCAATAAAGTGCTTGCCATGCAAATGTAAGGATCTGACTTTGGGTCCCAGAACCCCCCCAAAAAATAAAATAAAATAAAAAAAGTAGAATGTTTGATGTAACAGTAATCCTGGCACAGATGGGGTGGAGACAGGAAGGTGGCTGGGGCTTCCTACACAGCTAGTTTTGCTAAACTCCACGCCTAGTAAAAGACCCTGTCTCTCAAAACATAAGGTGAAAAGCAATTGAAGAAAACACTAGATATCAATTTCTGACTTCATGTACTTAACCCACCTCCCCCAGTGTTTATCAGATTGGCTTATGGGAGGACGAGTTTCAGGATAGCAAGGTTTCTGCTTCATTTTGGTTTGTTTTGAATGTCTTGGGGTTCAAGTCTGGAGGCTGGGAGAAGTTGATTGTTACAGTATGTTCTTTTATTTTTTAAGTGAAGGGATTAGTAGTTTATTCAGGTGATTGTTTGATAGCCTCAGGCAAAGAGAACTTAGGTTGGGTTCCACATGATTTTCTGTTTTAGATAAGGAAAACTCCCTGGGAAAATTGTAATGTGACTCAGCCATCACAAACACAAACATGTTCTTTACTGTGGTCATGGTGGCTGCAATGGTCTTAAGCTTTGAAATCTGTTCAGTATGCTGTAGCACTTCCGTTCCAAATTTCAAACCTAGGACTAACCCTCCAATCTGTAGAGCTTTGGTGGATGGAGAGGGAACACAGTCATTTCAGTGGAAGAACTCATGAAAAGAGAACCTCACTGCGCAAGGCTGATGGAATTCTCTAACAGCCTTAGGGAGTTAGGATAGGGGTCTGGATGGCCTACAGCCGAGGGCTAAGAACAATTGGCTTGTGAGAAGGTCACCAGCACTGGGTGGTGGGTGGAGATGCTCAGAACATGTTTCCCGGGCTTTACGGAGAGAGAGCAGACAAGGGCCTTGTTTGTTTTTGTTTTGTTTTTTTGTTTGTTTGGGTTTTTGTTTGTTTGTTTGTTTTTGTCAGGTCACCAGCAATGTCCCATTTCATAGTTTCTCAGGTCAGTAACATAGTACCTTGTGCTCAGACTGGCTTCCTTTCAGGGAAGTCAATAAAAACCGTAGAGAACATGAGGATGAATCTCTAGAGGCAAGTTCAGGTTCACAACACACATGATGCTAAAAGTTCTGGTGGTGGCAGAGATCTGAGGGTGCTCTCAGCTCAGAGCTTAGCAGCTTTGTGTGAGGAGAAGGGATTAGCGACACTGGTCTAAATTCAACAGCAAGAGAAGGGGTTGGGTGTCCTAGTTAGAATAACTCCCCTCTGGAGTGGCTCTGTCTATTTGGATCCTTATTGTAACTTTGCTGAGGCCCAGGTTCCTCATCTGACAAATTTAGATGAATATTTCTATGTGCTCTAACTTGGAAGACTAAGGGGAAACTGGCTAATTTACTTCAGCACTATATCATCGTATGAGTTCTGATTTATTGAGTCCCATTGCCCACTAGCGCTCTTTTGGCTGATTGGCATGGACTCACCTTCTTTGTTAGCCCATAGGACAAATCTTGCCAGTAAATACTCATTAAAAGAGGAAGAATTCCTGGTTCTGACTGTTTTGAGGGAGGATGAGTGAGAATGGGTAAGATTTGACTTTGGAGCTGGTTTTGTTAGACTGTGAAGGCAATTTATCCCAGTCCCTAAAAGATCAGGACTACGGGATCAATCCTCTCATACCAGATAGAAGAGCAAGATCACCCTTGGATGCATTTTCTTTATTTCCAAATATTGAAGAGAGTACAAGATAGCTTACTCATGAATTTAAGTCTTATTTTCCTATATTGCGTTTATTAAATTTATTTGCCTTTGATGAAAATATAACTTCTATTTCGTGTCTTTTGACATAATCTGATTTTTTCTTCTTTGCTAGTTAAATCAGGAGAAATTACTTCCTCTAGCACAGAGGACTTAAACCTCGTGTTATCAAGTGCCCACTATGAGGCAAAGAATGTGCACAGACTCTGCCTTGGCTACCTCACCTTGGCTACCACTGTGTGTCTGGGCAGACTTTGTGTTGTGTTTCAAGTGTAACCCTCTCTTGGGAAGCCTTTCCTTTCTCCATCCTCAGATAGCATCTCCTTTATGTCAAGAACAAAAAGCGTGGGCAGCAAAAAGGATTTTCGGCTGCTATGGACGGAAAGAAGAGTAAAATCAGCTTTATGGAAATGAATGGGTTG